TTGGCAAAAGGAGAAAAATAGCTGTGATGTAATGCGGGACTTCTTTTAGCTATTTGTCAATAAAGACTGCTACAGAACTAACTGTATTATTATAATCACTGGCTTTTGCTTTTAACTTGTGTTGGGTATTTTTGCCTTCAAACCACTTTATAAATATTACACAGTAGGAATCCAAAAGTTGCATTTTCCCTAAAACTTTTATTAAATTTAGAGCTTTTATTAGCTTTACCAAGATTACATAAATCCTTGAAGCAAGTGTTTAAAATTAGTTTGGGGAGTGGAAACTAGATGGGTAAAATAGTTTTAACTATTAATCCATTTTCCTTAACCAAAGCTTGGCTTACGACAGAGGCAGAGAAGAGGCGGCAGCTGAAAGGTCAGAGGGATATATTTTGAAGGAGTCAAGAATAACACCACTCATTTTCAAAACTGCAGTGTGATCCACTTCCAAAATACAACACCCAACTCTGCAGGAATCTAAAGACTTATGCCAAGAAGTGAAGTCTTATGACGAGCCATTTATAGGCCCACAAATATGCATCATTCATTTTGTAGTTTATCATACTGTTTTTCACTTAAAGGTTTTTTTTTTTTTAGTCCAGATTTATATTCTGTGGAATTTCTTTAGAAATCATATAAAGCTTAATTTCCCCATTATGTCCTCTTGAGGGATTCAAATCCAACAGATAATACTCAGTTTGCCATACCAGAGAGACAAATCATGAGAAATTAGTATATACTCATTAGTATACATTTTCAGAATAAATATGCTTTATTGTACATGGAAATATAAAACCTTCTGATATTTACTCATGAATACAGCTTAATTCCTTTACAATTAATTCATTTGCAAATAGAAGATTTCAAAGGTTAGTAATATAGGGAATTTCACTAGACGGTTTGAGTGGAAAAACACTCATAAGGCCAGGCGCAGGGTACATGCCTTTAATATCAGCAACTTGGACAGTTGAGGCAGGGTGATCATTAGTTCAAAGCCAGTATCAGCAACTTAGCAAGACCCTAAGCAACTCAGCGAGGCCCTTAGCAACTTAGCAAGATCCTGTCTCAAAATAAAATATAAATAGGGCTGGGGATGTGGCTCAAAGGTTAAGCAACCCTGGGTTCAATTTCCGATACAAAAAAAAAAAAAAAAAACCACTTGTAAAATAGCCAACTCATGATACATTTATTGTTTATATATAGAGCATCCTGGTTGTAAAGGCTCCCCTCAGTTGACCACCCCAATACCTAGGAACCAATATCACAGTAATATAGCAATTACATATATCTTTATAAAAATATTAAATTGCAGATAATTTAATACTGCTTTGCTTTTTTAATGTCTAAAACAACGACTAACATTTAACAAAAAGTAACTGCTAACAGAAGTAGAATAAGAAAGGGCAGTTTGGCTATGCACAGCTTTACTAACTGATCATCTTTAAGTCATCAAGTGTAAAATTAAATATACTTTATAAAAAAAAAAAAAGTTTTATAAGTCAGTTGGAAGTGAAATGACGGCTTGCAAGCGACTGACTGCAAACAGCAACAAAAAACAGTTCAAGGAACCAGGGCCTTCAACAGCCTTGTGTCGGGTGTTCCAGAGCAAGGGCCAACTGCAGGGATGAGGCAGCCACAGCCCTCTTCTCTCACCGGTTCTTCTGATCATGCCAGAAACATATCAGAATGTTGCTCAGAGAAACAGGTAGGAGTTTGTTAGAAAGAACAGGAAAAGGGGACACTCTCAAGATAGGAAGTGGGTCCTCTCAGAGAGGGGAAGGACAGCATGCTCCTTCTGCCCTCCAATTTTACTGTGGGTCCCAGGGAAATTTCCTGAGTCCCGCCCAAAGTCCATCTCTTGACTTTTACTTGATATCACATTTGCATCAGATTTCTCTGCACAGGATAAAGAATCAAGGCAACTCTGATTACTTTGACCCCTGCTGACTAGTTCTAATTGGAATTTGTTCTTACAGATTCTGTGGCTAGGGGGAATTCCAGTTTTAGAATCTAGTCTGTATAAGGGTCACACAACCCCCACCCCTTTTCAGGGTAACTTGCGTTCTTTTTGGCATTTTGGAGCCACCCTTCTGCATATAACAGATTGTTGGCTGAGGAACATAACATATTCTGTTGATTTAAACCAGGCAGGATTACAGGTAAATTGCCTTTAAAAACAAAACAAAACACATGAACTGGGTGAGGTGGTGTGTGACTTAATCCCAATGGCTCAGGAGGCTGAGGCAAGAGGATCATGAGTTCAAATCCAGCCTCAGCAAGGCCCTGTCTCAAAACCCTGGGGATATGGCTCAGTGGTTAAGCACATCTGAGTTCAATCCCCAGTACAAAACAAAAAAACACAAAAAAACAAAAACCATGTGGGGGTCAGGGAAAGCATAATGGATCCAGTTTATAGAATTATCCCACTATCCTCATGTACCGCATGATCCCACCACTCAACTGTTTGTCACCTATCAGGAGGTAGGTGATAATGCCAACCTACATCTGTTGGAGTTTTCAACAATGCTGTGCTGTCATGAGAAATTACAGTTTGATAATAATGGTAGATTCAAAGTTGGGAATCTTGAGCATTCTCTTCCAAAAATGATACACACTGGTCCTTTCACTTCAAAGTA